AGTTTATCTGAGCAAAAATCAGTTCGAATTGGGCAGCATCTAATCTGGCAGATAGAAAGGAACTCTGAGGAGCTGTACAAAGTGGAAGACTTTTATAGGCAGAAGAAAGCAGGAAAAAGGAATTTATACTGGCAAAGAAGTGAGTTAATTATTGCAAAGTTACTTTCCTTAGGGGATGGGAGAAGTCTGTCAGGCAGATTACATAACTTGTGCTGATCAAGTGATTCCTGGTTGACTGATTTAAAATTCCACTTCTGGGAGAGCTGAACTGTAATTCAGTCTCTGTTTGGTGACATGGAATTTAACACAACTGACTCCATTTTGGGCCTGTTTTTTTTTTTTTTTTTAATTTTGAGTAATTTTTTATTTTTCAACTAGAGGCCCAGTGCATGGATTCGTGCACTGGTGGGGTCCCTCGGCCTGGCCTGAGGGGATTGGGCCAAAACTGGCTCTCTGACATCCCCTGAAGGGTCCCTGATTGTGAGAGGGCACAGGCCAGGCCGAGGTACTCCACTGGTGAACGAGTCCGTGCACCTGACCTCTAGTATGCATATAAGATCTTTGGTTAATCTCTTCCCGCCCTCCCCTCTCCCTTCTTCCCTCTGAGATTCATCAGTTTGTTCCATGTTTCCATGACTGTGGTTTCTGCTCTTGTGTTGAGCATCTGCCCCCTGGTGGTCAGTGCACATCATAGCTACCAGTGGGCCGGTCGAACAGTCAGCTGGTTGCTTAGGCTTTTATATATATGTATTTTACAGTTGACATACAATATTATATTAGTTTCAGGTGTATAACATAGTACTAAACCTTTATATAACTTAAAAAGTGATCACCCCAATCTAGTACTCATCTGACACCACACATTGTTATTACAATATTATTGATATATTCTTTGTGCTGTACTTTATATCCCTGTGACTGTTTTGTAACTACCAATTTATACTCCTTAACCCATTCCCCTTATTCCTTCCCATTTTTCACCCATTCACTTACCCCCCTCTCATCTGGCAACTGTCAAAATGTTCTTTATGACTTTTTTAATTATTATTTTTAGACTCCATATATAAGGGAAATCATATGGCATTTGTTTTTTTTGTCTGACTTAATTTACTCAGCATATCCATGTTGTTGCAGATGGCAAGATTTTCTTCTTTTTTTAATGGCTGTGTCATATTCCTGAGATTGTTGTCTTGTTTTTAACAGCTATTAATAAAAATTAATTCTTTTAAATATGTTAATTCATCTAGTAAATTAAATGAACAGTTTAGAAAAAATACTTTAAGAAGAAGGTAAGTTAATTATTAATTTTAAAGACAGAGCACTTTGATTAAATAATTGAAAAGATGTTGAAAAGAAATTTATAGGAAGGCCAAAGACTAGGGTAATAATTTTAAAATGACTTGATCCACTGGAGCCTCTCCCATCTCCACAGCAGCACTAAGGATGTTTCAGGGAGCGGGCCTAAGCCATTAGTCAGACATCCCCTGAGGGCTTCTGGACTGCGAGAGGGTGCAGGTTGGGCGGAGGGACACTCCCCCACAAGTGCACGAATTTCATGTACCGGGCCTTTTAGTTAAATAAATCCCACTTTCTGCATCACATAGAAAGTGAATAAAGCAATAATGGTTGGTGCCCTTTTTGATATCTACACAGTAATATGAACAAATTAATTTGTAAAAACCCTGAAGTTATGGTTTAGGGCTTTTAAAAAAATTGTCTTTTGAACCACCATAAACATATGAAAAGAAGAATTTTAAAATGTAAAATCCTTCAAGCAACTTGACACCAAAAAACACAATAATTGAATTTAAAAATGGGTTGAGGACCTGAATAGATACTTCTCCAAAAAGAACACACGGATGGCCAGTGGACATATGAAAAGATGCTCAATGTCACTAATCATTGGAGACATGCAAATTAAAACCACAATGAGATTATCACCTCATACCTGTCAGAATGGCTACCATCAATATATTAACAAACATCAAGTGTTGACAAGGATGTGGAGAAAAGGGAACCCTCGTGCACTGTTGACGGGAATTCAGATTGGTGCAGCCACTGTGGGAAGCAGTATGGAGTTTCCTCTACAAATTAAAAATGGAACTGTCTTATGATGCAGAGATTACACTTATGGGAATATATCCAAAGAAACCAGAAACACTGATTTGAAAGAATATATACACCCCTATGTTCATTGCAGCATTATTTACAATGGTCAAGATTTGGAAGCAGACCAAGTGCCCATCAGTAGATGAGTGGATCAAAAGTTTGGTACATTTACACAATGGAATACCATTCAACCATGAAAAATAAGGAAATCTTACCTTCTATGAGAGGATGGACCTAGAGGGTATTATGTTAAGTGAAATAAACCAGTCAAAAAAAGACAAATATGGTATTATTTCATTTATATTTAAACTAACCATCAAAATAGAAGCAGACTCATATATACAGAGAACAGACTGACAGCTGTCAGGGTGGTGGGGTGGGAAGCTGGGTGAAATAGATGAAGGTTTTAAGCAAAAAACGAAAACTAAACCAAAACAAAGAAACTCATAGACACAGACAACAGCATAGTGATTACTAGAGGGAAGGGGAAGTGAGCAGATAGAAGAGGGCAAAGGGGGAATAAATGGTGGCGGAAGGAGTCTAGACTATGGGAGGTGAACATAGAATACAACACACAGATGAAAACTATTAATCAATGTAATCCCATTAAATTCAATAAAAAGTATGTAAAGATGTAAAGTTCTTTGAATCAATAAAGTTTTTGCCACTACTTTTAACAATAGTCCTGAAGCACTGATATTTCCAATGATTACCACTCAATATTATGAACATTTGTTTACTCACGAATAACATCATAAGTCAGACATTATAATACTAAAAGAAGAAGAAAGTAAGACACCTCATTCTCCACCCCTGTCCCCCAATAAAAGCAAAACATTGAAAGTGGTACTGCCCTAACTGGTTTGGCTCAGTGGATGGAGCGTCGGCCTGCGGACTGAAGGGTCCCAGGTTCGATTCCGGTCAGGGGCATGTACCTTGGTTTCGGGCACATCCCTAGGAGGGGGTGTGCAGGAGGCAGCTCATCGATGTTTCTAACTCTGTCCCTCTCCCTCTCTGTAAGAAATCAATAAAATATTTTTTTTAAAAAGAAAGTGGTACTGATGGTCAATAAAACCTTGGTGTTGGTGATGTTCTCTGCACTTCAGGACTTGATTTTCTAACTCTGCAAGTCTGGTACCTCAGCCATTGGAGCTTTACTCCTAAGAAAAAGTTATTTTAAGACATTGATTTGGACAAAAGAAGTGAGTTTGTAATAAAACATGTAATTTCCAAACTCTGATATTTATTTAAACCTTTTAGTCTCTCTTATCCCACCATGGAACTCTATTTAAGAAATAAATTATGGTTGAAAGGTTATTTGAGAAGCCTAAAGCCTAGTTAAGAAACTGTAGCCCTGGCTGGTGTGACTCAGTTGGTTTTGTCCTGTGCACTGAAAGGTCACCGGTTCAATTCCCAGCCAAGGTACATGCCCAGGTTGCAGGTTTGATCCCTCGTCTGGGTGCATATGAGAGGCAACCGATCAATGTTTCTCTCTCACAATGATGTTTCTCTCTCTTCTTCCTCTCTCTCTAAAAATAATAAAAAACAAAAAACAACTGTAGGATAGGAATACACTTTCCTCTACCTTTTAAGATTCTGTTGGCTGTTGTAATAATTGGCACGAGACAGATTAACAGGAAAAAAAAATAACCAACTTTAATGACATGTATACATATGGGGATGCCATATACATGAGAGGTTCAGGGACCGAAAGGGAAATGAGGCATTTTCAAGCTAAGGGTGCAATAAGGCACCTGGGAGTCTTCAGAAGGGAGGAAGAGTCATTTTCAGGATGACAGGAAGAGCTAATGATTGGTAATGAGAAGTTTGCTCTGCCCTATAGAGTAGTCATTAAAAGCTATTTCTGGTGATAACTCTTATTGTGGGCAACACCTCTAATTTAAATTCTTTAAGGAGAGGTAAAAGTTTCTCATGAACCCTCACCTCAGTTGCTTTCAGCTCAAAAATAATTCACATACCAAAGTGCCTGTTCTGAACCCCTTCAAACATCAGTGAGGTTGGTGAATACATGAAATCAAGGCACTAATAACAGAAATAATGTTTCTTCTGGTACATAGTAAGGACTTGGGGACTGTTATTGTTTGCAATGGTTCCTCACAGCTTACAAATCTTCAAATGTTCTATCGAGTGTTTGATTCTCACACGAACTATGTCAAATGATGGGTCTGGTTTTATGCCTCATGTACCGATGGAAAAAACAGTGGCTCAGAGAGAGTAAGTGGCTTGACTAAAATCTCGTAACTGACACAGTTGACATCTGTTGCTTTGGTTGGGACAATTTCCTTCCTCCTTTTGGTAACAGGACTCTGATTTTCCTTTAAGAAACTGCCCTGTGGTTTTATATAACTCCTAGCAGGACTGTCGGTCAAGAGAGTCTGCCTCCCTGTGTTAACATGTGACCCACACTGGCTCATGAGAACTCTCTACATCCCCTGGATGCAGAGACTGGTATACCGGTGGCTATGTGATCCAAATATTTTGAGTTATTTTTATTGATTGATTTTTCACTTGTGGACATTTTATGAACTTCCCTCCATGTGGCTTCAAGCTACCAGGACACAGGCCCTGCCAACACCCTTAATCCTCTCCTCAGCTCTTCTGCTGAAGAACTTGGCCTTCTCAGTGTGAGGCTGCTTTGGGAGCTTTCCCTTCCCCAGAACTTTGTAGTAGCCTGATTGCACCACATCAACGATAGGAGCAGCTCCAGTCTTGTTTTGGCAGCATTTACCTGTGTCTGCTCACTGACCAAGGTCCGCAGTTTATCAAGGTTGACAGTTGGGCAAAAGCTCTGGTTACTCTTTAAGTGGTAATGTGTCATCCCAACCTTCCCAAAGTAACCTGGGTGATATTTGTCGAAGTTGATTCTGTGATGATGCAGGCCACCAGCATTACCTTGGCCTTCCGGGTGCTTCCTGTGCTTGTCGATGGGACCGTGGCCGTGGCTCACGTGGCCCGAAGTTTCCGAGTCTTCCTCAGTCTGGATGCATGTTGGTGGCCAAGATGCAAGAGTGAGTTTTTATTTTTAAAGAGAGAGATAAATTAATTCTAGGAGTGAGTTGGCTTCACTTGAGAGATGTAAGGAACATGAAACCTTGGAGCTATTTTCCAGAGAGAACTGCTACAGTAAAGCTAATAAAGGGGAATTCCTAGTGGCGGGGAGCACGAGAGAGAGAGAGAGAGAGAGAGAGAGAAGAGAAGAGAAGAGAAGAGAGGAGAGGAGAGGAGAGGAGAGGAGAGGAGAGGAGAGGAGAGGAGAGAAGGGAGAGAGGGAGAGAGGTGGAGAAAGTGGTGGGCTGACGCTCTAACCACTGAGCATCGCTGGCCAGGGCAAGACATTCTGATTTTATTTGAGGAAACAGATATAGCTATGCCTGAAGTCGGCCAGATCAACTCTTGAATTTTCAAGTTCAGTGAGTCAGTAAATTCCTTGTTTTGTTTAAGTAGGTTTGGACTTCTTTACTTGTAACCAAAAAATTCCTAACTAGTAAATGTCTTAGTTATTATTGAAACATGTCTTTTGACATCAAATACTTGGCTATTTCCACTGCTGCAACCTTCAGAAAGATGCCCATACATATAAATGTCAAAACTTTGTGGGAGATTAGAGAACCTTCCCTCTTTCCATTAACACACACCATTTTAGGTTCCCTTCAAGTTTTCATTTTAAAAATTCTGTCAAGAGAATGAGAAGACAAGCCACAGACTTGAAGAAAATATTTGCAAAAGACATACCTGATAAAGGGCTGTTACCCAAATTATGCAAAAATCTCTTTAAAGGTCAAGAAGAAAACAAACAGCTTGATTAAAAAGTGGACAAAGGATCTGAACAGACACCTCACCAAAGAAGATGTATGGATGACAAATAAGCATATAAAAAGATATTCTATATGTCACTAGGAAATATAGATTAAAGAAACAATGAGTTACCACTACATCCCTATTGGAAGGCCAAAATCCAGAATATTGACACCAACAAATGTTTGGAGCAACAGGAAATCTCAATTGAAAATATTTATTGGGAACCTATTATGGGTTTTCTGTAAATAACAGTTTCTGTTTGGAGTTTCCAATATAATAAAGTCAAGGGAAATAACTGACTAATACAAGAATGGATTAAGTGCTAAATAGCAGGAGGGTGCTTTGTATTGAGAAAAGGTTATTACTGTAACTTCTGAAAGTTGAACGGGAGGTAGAATTGTGAATGATTTTAAATTCAAGGTATTATTTAGGCTGAGGCTTGAAAGATGAGTAGGTCATTGGATAGAACATCCTAGGCCAGTGATGGCGAACCTATGACACGCATGTCAGAGGTGACACGCGAACTCATTTTTTTGGTTGATTTTTCTTTGTTAAATGGCATTTAAATATATAAAATAAATATCAAAAATATAAATCTTTGTTTTACTATGGTTGCAAATATCAAAAAATTTCTATATGTGACACGGCACCAGAGTTAAGTTAGGGTTTTTCAAAATGCTGACACACCGAGCTCAAAAGGTTCACCGTCACTGTCCTAGGCATAAGCATGAGCAAGAGCATTGCAGACATTCCATGCTTGAAGGGAAAAAAGGATGGTTGAAGGGGGTAGTGCATTACTTTCCTATTGTCATGATAAAAATTACCACAAACTTAAAGCAATACAAATTTATTATCTTACTAGAGGCTCGGTGCACGAAAATTTGTGCACTGGAGGGGTCCCTCAGCTCGGCCGGTGCCCTCTCGCAGTCCTGGAGCCCTCAGGGAATGTCTGACTGATGGCTTAGGCCCGCTCTCCATGGGGAGGCCGATCAGAGGATGGTGCCAGCTGGTGAGCGGCTAGCCCTGTCCCCCGCCGCCATCACCGGCGGTCTCCCTCTGGGTGGTCCCCCCCTTTCTTCCCCCATCACCCCTCTGCCCCCATTGCCATCCCCTCCCTCTGCCTGCTGGCACGAGCCTTGGCTGGCCTGGTGCTGCCTGCTCACTGGCCCTGCCCCCTGCCGAATGGTCATCCTGCCGTTTGATCGATTTGCATATTACACTTTTATTACATAGGCCTAGAAGCTTGGTGCATGATATTCATGCATTTGGGGGGGGGGAGAATCCCTCAGCCCAGTCTGTGCCCTCTTACAGTCCGAGACCCCCAGGGATCGGGCCTAAGCTGGCAGGTGGACATCCCTCTCGCAGTCCAGTACCCATTGCTCCTTACTGCCTGCCTGTTAGATGTTCCTTACTGCTCAGCTCACTGCTCCTTAGCACTGCTGCGGAGGCAGGAGAGGCACTCACCAGCTGTGAGCCCAACTTCTGGTTGAGCAGTGCTCCCCCTGTGGGAGCACATTGACCACCACGGGGCAGCTCCTGCGTTGAGCATCTGCCTCCTGGTGGTCAGTGTGCATCAGAGCGACCAGTCATTCTGGTCATTCTGCCGTAAAGGTCGCTTAGGCTTTTATTATATAGATAGTTCTGTATGTCAGAAGTTCAATACAGGTTACATTGGGATAAAATTAAAGTGTCAGCAGGGTTCTAGAGGTTCTAGGGGTAAACCCATTTCCTTGTATTTTCCAGCTCCTAGAGATCTCCACAATCCTGGCAGGTGGCCCCCTTCATCTCTTCAAAGCCACCAATGTTGCAACTCTCTATCTTTCAAAGTCGTAGCTCTCTTCTGCCTCCCATTTCCAGTGTTGAAGACCCTTGTGATTGATTATATTGGGCCACTCAATAATCCAGAATAATCTACTTTATGTATGATCAAGTGACTAGCAACCTTAATTACCCGTTTTGGTGAAATTTAACATAGTAACAGGTTCTGGGGATTAAGAATGGGGACATCTTGGGGTGAGGTCATTATTCTGCTTATTACAGGTAAGGAATAGCTACCCTTCAGAGGGAGGCCAAAAGAAGGGGTGTGAATGCGCTGATAAGGGCAGTGGGGTTGCAGGTGCAAGTTTCTGAGGTTTGACATTACATATATGAGAGGAAGGGAGAGGGAGAGAGATAGAAACATCAATGATGAGAGTGAATCATTGATTGGCTTCCCCCTGCATGCCCCCTTCGCTCTCTTTCTCCATCTCAGTGAGTGCAGTTTTTAGTCATATGACTTAATTTGTTCAGTAGATGCTGCAACCCAGGCCTTAAATCAGTGGTTCTCAACCTTCTGGCCCTTTAAATACAGTTCCTCATGTTGTGACCCAACCATAAAATTATTTTCGTTGCTACTTCATAACTGTGATGTTGCTACTGTTATGAATCGTAATGTAAATATCTGATATGCAGGATGGTCTTAGGCGACCCCTGTGAAAGGGTCGTTCCACCGCCAAAGGGGTCGCGACCCACAGGTTGAGAACCGCTGCCTTAAATCATTCACCTACAATCCGCAGCGGGAGCCGGGAATCCTGGCCAATGCCCCAATGAGCAAGGCTGAAGCTACGGTCCAAATCGCAGGAAAGGCACGCAGTCCTTGTACTTAAGGTGTTACCTTAACCGACACAAAACTGAAGAGCTGTGCAGGGTCTCAGCGAAGTAAGCCCGACTGCCGCCCAGTTCTACAGAGCCC